TTATATTATAAATATATATCACGTGTAAAGTAAAACATTTCCACAACAATCCGTTGTGAGCTAGGAGTAAACTTTCGTGACCAATGTTGTGATTGTGACAATGTGGTCAACACTGTGAATAGGCCGCCTTCACTTCTCAGACAAGCTAGTACCCATCGATCAGAAGCTGGATGGGCTTCAAGCCACAACTGGGGATCGAACCTAAGTTCTACTCTCATGTATTATTATAGAGTATCACGATCACACATCCTATTATTAATATGGAGTCAATTAATGAAATGTCTCTTTTATGTGTCCTCTTTAATCATTCTAATAAGATCGAAATCTCAGTTGTAATGTCAGAGTACTTGTACTATTTTCAATGAATCCTTATGTTCATTGAATATAATTCTTAAAATGCAAATAAATACAACTAATTATATGAATTAGTTTACTGAAAAGTAATTTATGTCAAATTTAATAGTTGTCGAGGAAAAACAAAATTAAAATAACATAATACAAACTAAAGTTACAGTATATTAGTGCTACACTAAGTGAGATGGCATATCATAGATAAAATCAGTGAGGCAGCCTAAGAAAATAATATACTATATGCAATATATCTAATAACAATATCCATTTCATCCGATAGCTATATACACATCCGTAGCTATATCTGTACCCATATCCAATTATCTTGAGTGACAAAATTTAATAAATTTGAAAGTAAGTAATATTTCGATAAAAATAATTGAAGTATTTACGCAATTTAAAACTTTTCAACATCATCAATCAATAAAAAAAAAATTTGATCAAAATATAGACTAAGATCTATTAGTACTAAATGCACTATGCATTCAATGTACCAAAGAATACTTAATCCTGTATATTACACACACCCATCCTGTACCGTATTACGACATTCTGTACTTTACACTTTGAAATGATTTCAATAATTTACATACTTTAAAATAATTCAACACCTTATTTACTTAAAGTTACCCAATCATTATCAGAGATTATTGGTGAAAAGCATATTGGTGAGTAGGATGACTCCTTTCATTCATTTCGAATCAAAACAATGACTGGTTGATTGGTTAATGTGACAAAAAATAACAATAAAAAGTATCTGACAAATACTTTACTCAATTTTGTAGTCTAATGAACTGTAAAATAAAAAGGTCGACGATAAATAAGACGTTTTGAACTCACCCTATAAAAAATGAATTGAACCAGTGTAAAATAAGTAAAATACGAGATCAATTAAAAAGTAATTTAAAAAGTAATTAAATGAATAACTAATTGCAAGCAATATTTCACATGAATGAGAGTAATGTTCAATTTAAACATTATATTGCTTCTCTACATATAATTTTTCTTGAGTTACATACAAATACACAATTTAATTATTTAATGAATCAAATGAATATTGGGATATTTTAAAATTAAAAGAGCAAATCTAATCTCAATTTAATCTAAGGTAATAATTTTTTGTTAATAATATGTATTACTATAATAATGGAACTTCTAGTAGCTAGGAGAGAATTTCGTACTGAATAAATTCAAAAATTTCAAATTTTTATAACGTAAGAAGCATTAGAATTCTCTTACATACAATACATGAAACAATAAAAGCACTATAGTATTACAAAACACGAAAGACTACAGCGTATAAGAATTTTTCATGCATGTAACAAATAAAATTTGAATGTGTATGTGTTTGAATAATTATATTATTATTTTTAATAATAGTAGTAATAGTGGTAGTAGTAAAAATTGCAATAGACTGTTGTTAATGATATAACTTTTCTGCCAGTAAACAGGATAGTAAAGTTATAGCCTTATAGCAATTAGTGTTTGTTGTGTTAATAGTAGTCTAAATATAATTAGAATTTTATTTAGTTTTGAAATAAGAATCAAATAAGGACCACGAAATAAACATTATTGTATAGTTTTAATTATGAAATAGTATTTTCTTAAATTTAATACCCACACTTTAAAATCTATATCTTCATTAACATTTCATTTTTTTTTAAATCATGAACTAACATTTTAACAACCAAAGGCTCGATCTCTTTTTTTAATAAATATGATATCAATTTCAGTTAATCGACTTGAATTCGAACTAAACTAAAGAAAGGTTACTAAAACATAATTTTAATATTATTTTAGTGACATTAAAAGTTAAATATTTTTATACATTATTACGTTAAGCTAAAGTAAGTTTTATCCTCATTACTTTATCTAAATTACACGTCATACTGTATAACTTTATGTAGATTAAGTATTAGTACAAAATATAAGACTTACACAGAATATATTATCAAGCAAACCTTAAATACATTACCTGTGGAAATTTTAAAAATTCAAATTATGCATAACAGATGAAGAAGCATAAAAATTCTATATCCCCTCTCTCCTAATATTTCAGCTGACTTAATCTTAATTATAGTAACCAGCAACGGACTTAATTACTTAAAAGACTTCATTTAACTCAAAACTGTTGCCATTTTAGTAAAGAATAAAGTTAAAACCTTATGCTACTTTAAATGAGCAGTAACAGTATCGTTTGATATTGCGTAAATCATTTGGTTTTACACATTTGAAATTAATTGTTTAATCTTTAGAGAAAAAAAAAGAGATCTTTTATTATATCACTAATGAGAAAGTGCTTAAGTAACCTTTCAATATAAAAAATTTCCCTTTTTAGATTGAATGTCATAAGTTTTAATAAAGAAAGTAATTTATTCAATCTTCCTAATTTGATTATTTCATAAAAAAACATTACTTTAAGGGAATTTATTATGATTTACATTTTATAAGGCATAAAAGAAAGTTTTTCCCTCTTAATTATGACATATCTAAACCATTGTTAGGTTTTGCCAACAGTGTTATTTTGAAGACAAGTAACCTTGAAAATTTAAGGTTAAAAAATACTTAAAAATTAATAAAGCTTTAATAGCTTGATACTTTAAAAGTAATAATAATTAAAATACTATTCGCCGAATATCCTCAAAAGGTTCGATGACTTGAAAAAGCTATTAAATAAAAAAAAAAGAGGCAAAAACTTATGATTTGCTGCGGTCTGCTTCTAAAACCAAGATTTTTTTATATCTAGGTTTCAAACTTGTTTCATATAAAACTAACAAACGGCAAATAACTCTTTTAGAATTTTGCTACAAGAGCAGAAAACATTTTATGTAATTTAACAGTCAACATGGATATCTGCTGTCAAGCTTCTAAAATAATTTTAAAAATTAATGAAATAAAATTCTAGTTTCCTAAACAGAACACAGCAAACAGTTTTATTCCCTTTTTCTTCAATAGATTTTCAAATCATTGGTCATTTTTGCAACGCATGAATCTATGATTTAATTAACGTTATAAGACGATAAAGACCTATTTATTATTATTAATGAAAAAAACGATAATGAAAAATAATATAATTCCAGTAAAACTACATAATGCACCTAAAAATTAAAAATAAAAACACTGAATGTTAAACCCGCATTAAGTCTTATTAGAATCGCCAATAAATAATGAATGATCTTTTAAATAGAATTAACCAGAAATTAAAACGATAAAGGTTAAACATAACCAGTTTGCCAAACATTATTAATAATTTGAGTATATCTTAAATATTTTAATTTGTAAATAAGAAACATTTTAATGTTTCATATGTTCTATTAAGTCTATTAGATATAATATAATAATTTTATTAAGGGTACCTAAATTAATTTTAAAATTTAATCAGCTGAATTTTTATGAAGTGTTTTTATAAAACTGATGAGGAAGCCTAATTTAAAATAAGTTAAAATAATTAAGCATTATTAAATTAAATTATCGTAACTCTCTGGACGAACTAAAAAATAGGAGCTATATTTACTGATCATAAGAAAATAGTTAACTAAAATTAATATTAATTTCAGTGGAACTTTGTAAACTGATGGGTTTTTTAAATAAACTATTTAATAACTTTTAATTTCGATAATTATTCAAACTACATTACTGTAGGTTTAAGAATTCGATTTTAAATACGTAAATAAGAGTAGGACTTAGAATTACTCATTCAATTATGCATTACATATTTTACGTGAATAATTAAATTTATATTTCAATAAGTTACGTTAATGTTTAAAGTTAACTGTTAATGTTTTAATTTTATTTTTCTTATCATAATTTTCAAAAAATCCAACTCTTTAGTAATATTTAAAAAATATTCTTTTGCAAGATTGTGTTTCATATTTAAAAAGAAAACTTTAATTAATTTACAAAAATTATGTTGATATAATTTAAATAGAATACTAAGAAAAGATGAGAGTGTGTAAACAAAAATGATAATTTCACGAAGTTTTTATCAAAGCTGTATTCTGAAAGTGAGATTAAGAAAGTGTAAATTCTTTGGAATTCGTTAAATTCTAAACTATACCAAGCTTTACCTAATTCAATTTCTTTCGTTCTTTTTTTAATACTGTGAAGAGCAAACCTGACTATCTGAACTACAGAGTGTTCCAATAAAGAGAAACAATGGGATAATTCTTCGATTTGTATAGCCTCTCTTGATATCCACACCCAGAAACCATTTTATTTTATATCCAGCTCTGAAGAGTCGACTCACTATCAATCTTGAACTTCGTAACCTTGTAATTTTGAACCCAATCTAGAAGACAAGAGAACTCTTGGATCATAATTTATAGCAAAATATCCTTTGTGGAGAACTGTTGGAAACTACCCAACATTTACGTTACAGGGAGATGAAAACCTCCCTTGCACTTTGTCTGAAACCTCCTTGCACTCTGTCGGATCAACTATTTTAAATCATGACAAATCAAAGATTTTTTATCTTTGTCAGAGTAAACTTTCAAAATTGTTTTGTTTTTGGAATAAATTTCAGTTCTTTTTCTTTAATGAATGGATTAATATCAACTAAATATTTTCTATAAAATATTATAGTGCTTTATTATTGTTTGTTTTATTTCAAACTAGCCGCCTAAGGCGGCCAGCTGTCCGCCACGCTATGTTTATTGGGCCCTAGCACTGCTAGTAGAGACACAATCCTCTTCCAATCTTCTTTGACGTTTCTCAGGTGTTTCTCGGACCCTAGCACTGCTAGTTGAGACACGATCCTCTTCCAATCTTCTTTGACGTTCCTCAGGTGTTTCTCGGGCCCTAGGACTGCCAGTTGAGACACGATCCTCTTCTAATCTTCTTTGACGTTTCTCTGATACTTCTTGGGCTCTAGAATTGCTTGTCGAAATTGGGTCATGTTCCATCCTTCTTTGACGTTCCACAGACGTTTCTTGGGTCCTTCTTCTTCTTTGAGAATCTCTTAATATCTTTTTCTTTGACAAAATACCAAGTTTTTTGGAAGGCGGTTCTGCCATGTCAGTAATCGGGTTTTTAAGAAGTCAACGAATACTTTAGAACAACAATTACTATGAAAGCAAATCATGAAACTTCAATATTAAAATCTAAGTGCTTACCTGCAAACTGAAACTTTTTGAAAATAACTAATTACATTTAATAAAAACTGTTAAAATAAAGAATAGAAAAACCAAAGAGATCCAAGGTAAGTGTGATCGTTCCTTCAAAAACAATTAAATTCCTATTTTATATATTATATAGCTACAACGCTTAAGAAAAAAAACTAAAATGCTAAATACATGAAAAGAACACGAAAACGAATTAATTTTTTATGGTATCAATTTCTATTTCTATATAATTTTTTATGGTATCAATTTCTATTTCTATATCGCTACAAAAATTATCGTCTTCGCTTAAGAAAAAAAAATAGAGCGTGGAAAGAAGAAGAAAAACTTATTATAACAATTATGAACAGCGACAAATATATCAAAGCGAAGCGTTCTATTTACGTATCGAATATGTTGCCACATTTTTAATACAAAAGTTAAACTTTTCTCCACTTTGATAAATGTAAACTAATGCGAACCTTACAATTAAATTATTAATTCCTTCGTATATTATTGGTTTAAGTTGTCGAAAATTAATATTTCAATTGTAAGGTTCGCATTAGCATACATTTATAAGAGTGGAGAAAAGTATATGCATTTTTTAATAGTTTTTTGAATATGGCTCTTTGAAGACGAAAAAGCATAGATTTTCTTACAAAATGACTGATAACTAAAAAACTAATCCAAATTTTTGAAAAAGAAAAAAAATACTTCTTCATTATGTCAAAACACAATTTTGTGTCAAGTTTCGTGCCTGGGCGAGGCTTCTGGGGCGATATATTGTGATTACAGACAGACACACACACAGCCGCGTTTATTATTATGTATAGATGTATTTTTAATTTAAGGATTACTAACAATCTTATTATCTATTTTTAAGAAATTGCATCTCAGATGTTCATATTAACGTAAATAGTACTTTATATGCTAAACACTGTATAACACGATTTTAATTCCTATATATATTGCAATAATAGTTTCATAAAATTTTATTAAATAATCCTATAACTCAGGAATTCTAAAAATGATTATTAAGTATCCTATTTGCATCATTTTTGTAAAAATTATATATAAGAGCAAGGCATTACGTGAAAGCTTATGATTTTTCTAAATAATTCTTTTCAGATCTTACAATCATGGTAATAATAATAATAATAGCTTTTTCCACTAAACAATTGCAATGATCAAAGTAATGTCATAAAAAGTAGTCATTAATCGCAAAAGAAATTAGTTATGTGGAAGAGAAAGTAGGATGTAAGATAACCTTAGAAAACTTACCTTCAACTACTACCTACCTCTAAATTATGTAAAAGCATGTCCACTACGCTGTAAAAATTTCTGGATCAAATTCGTAAAGTACTAGCATAATCTGTAAAATACATTTTTATAATAAAATATTATATTGTTAATTTTGTAGTAACACTTATGCAATTAGAGTAATTTTACGATAATTATTACTGTAAAATTTTCGGTTACAGAATTTTTGTTCCTTAACAGATTACGGTAAAAATGGATTTTACGGTGAGGAATACTGACTATCTGAGTGCCTGTACTTTTTACCGTAATTTGATCTGGGACTTTTTACAAAGCAATTTCAGATTGCTCAGTTAATGGAAGGTATAACAAATTCGTTAAAAATAGTTTTTTTTGCTCACTAAAATATTTTACAGCAACCATTTAATGAAAACTTATGCTTCTAAACATATTTTGCTAAATAATTGTGCTTTAATCAGACATTGAAATTTTTATAACAGATAAATAAAGTTGCTACACTAAGAAGATGGAGGCCATACTTGTGAAATTTGCATTACCCTGACGCAATGGTGTAATATGCAAACAATAAAATTTTTGCACACTCTTGTTAGGTAGGCGTACGCCTGAAAGCCATAAAAAAGCAGAGGTTCGACAGCAATTTGCTCATAACCAATTTGCATTTGAACATTATTTTTGGCTTAAATAGCTGTTGTTATGCGTCGTGTAAGAAGATAAATGCCTATCCGCACTCATCCTCTTTTGATTAAGGAAAAATCATAGTCCATCGGGTTTGCAGTTTATCGTAATATATTACTTGTGTTGGCCGAGATCTTTTAGCAGTCCACAGAATAAGGATGGGATAGATTCAAGTCAGTCATACGGAAAGTTTTGCAGTTCTTCAGTAGCACTTCACTATTACAACCGAGCAGCCTGACTTCTTATTCGCAAGAGGTCCCACAATCACAAAATGCACCGTGAGTTTGGAAAGGGAATCTCTGCAAGAGAGCAAAGTTGTGCTCAAAAAGTTTGACAACATTTAAAGCAGTATGGATCAGAAGTGTACCAACCAAGGTTTCTGGTACCCTTGACTCTGCATCACAGACAAGAGCACCTTCAAAAGTGTAATCATTGAACATGCAATAATGATGGAGCGTCACCTTAGCAGACGAACGCCGAGTTGGTAAACAGAGCAATGATGGCCACATCTATTTTTGATGGTATCATGGAGAAATCACGTTGCCAATTTGCATTCGACATCGTCATACTGGTCCATCTTCCACAGTAATCCATCATCCTTGTCCATCACACATTTATTATTATTGGATACGCGCATTTCTGAACTCTAATCATTATATTTTAGGAGTGTTAAGCCGCATGGCTCTAACCTACATACGATCTCCTTTCAAGCTTTTTTTTTTTCGTTTTTTCCAGCAGGATAATACCCTGCTGCATTTTGACTATACTATCCAAACGATCCTTAATACAAGACATAAACGGCAGTATACATACCCTGCACGTTCTCCAAATCTTTGAATAATTCAAAACGTGAAGTTAATCCTTTCCACAAGGCTGGGATAGCCTGGTCGGTAGGGCGCTGGGCCCATGTCCGTGAGTTCGTGAGTTCGAACCACGCCGGCCGAAGATTCCCCGTGTAGTAAATGGTGACTGATGCACGTTAAATGTGTCGAGTCGCAAAGTCCTCCATGTTCCCATAACAAATCAATTCTTCTGGGGGTACTGGATTGGAGATCTATCGTTCTCTGATTCAGGTCAAAATTACGATCTGTTTATGAATTAATGGATCCGCCCTATAAACGGGTGCGACGAATGTTCGCGGCAAAAGTCGAATTCTTGGACATAGATAGCTCCACTGGAAAACAAGAACAATCGCACCCCTCTGCCTAAAACAGGCATAAGTCAACAACAATCCTTTCCACGACTCACCGATTACTACTGTCAAAGATATTTGGCATAGAATCATCCAATCTCTGTGTGATTCCTTGTCCAGATGGATAAATAAAGTTATTTCTGCCTTTTGATACTGATTTCTTATGTTTTATACGCCCTAGCTTTTCTCAAATTTAAAAGCTTGCTCTTTCCTTTATAATGCATGAGACTAATAAATACATCCCTGCTATTCACGTCTTTCCTTAGTGAAGCCATTTTAATGGCCGTAATCTGAAGCAAAAATCAATCTAAATATGTAAATTCATAAATATTACACTTTTACCCTTATTATTACATTTTTGAAATACATACAATTAAATTTAAGGAAAGTGCACTCATTAGAGGTAACTAATTTGTATTTATGTGAGGAAAAAGCAAAAGCACTATCAAATTCTGACAAATCACTGGAATGGAAGGTGGGGTTAAAACATTAATATCAGTTTGTCTGTTAAACGGAACCTGGGAGTGTTTTGAGGTTTCTTCAGACAATCAAACAATTTTTTTTGGTTTCAGTCTCACCTTCCTTATTAGTAATTCCTTTAATTTTTCCTTTCCTCGCTTAAATAATAATTCACGATTCCTAATGTGTATGCGCATTTAACAATATTTGTGACAATTAATTTATAGCCCGATTAATTTAATGTTTTAAAAATTATTTTATCCTAATTATCTAAAAGCACATATAAATTAATGAATTCAATTTTTTATAACTTATTTAATAAAATTAAGAAAAGTTTTTGTAATATATGTTGTTAAATATTAAAATTCTCTTTAAAGTATTATATTTTTCAAAATATAGATTAAGATCTTTTGAAATTGCATGAGCTTCTTTATATAAACAAGTGATTTGATTCTTCATTAGCCTATTTAAAATAATTAACTCAAAGTAATTTTCCAGAAAGTCACATAAAGAGATTTCAATAAATGTTTATGAACAATTTTATTGCTTAAATGTTTGCTATTAACTTTAATTCCAAATATATGAAAAGAAAATTTCCATAATAGTTAGGCAATTAATAGTTTACTAGTAATTAGTTTCATTCTAATTGTATAAGTTCCAGATAAGTAACTTAATATGTCGGAATAATATAGCTCTTAAGTGTTGCTTAAGTAATTTAACGGGAGGTTAGGCAAATAATCCAACGATAATTTTTGCGATTTAACGTTTGAATTAATTTCCTAAGTACATAATTAAAGTAGATTAATTCGCTTTTTTTCATAACTTCCAAACACTGAACTAAATCCAAAATGTTAAATGAACCAACAAACCTAAATTTTCATCTTGATTGAAATATATGGATTTCAACAATAAAAAAAAACTAATAACCTTTCTCGACAGTAGTTAAGCAATGATAACAATAAAATATAATTTTGTTTCACATATTGAAGCTTCTTCGAATTCAAACTATTAATCGCGAACTACTCTTAAAACAATATTCATCTTGGAATTATATGTCAAAATATTTACAATTTCTCACACAACACCTATTACCTCGAAAAGGTATTTAATGTGTTCCTTTTTGCAACATAACCAACACGCTTATGACACTAAATGAACCATGCAACGCTAACTTTTCTGCTACTACAACCAAAACATTTTCTTCGCATTTCCGAAATAGCACATAATTATTAAGTACGTTTCAGTTACGTTTTATGACTTTAACATCGAAAAAATCATGTTGCTTTTTCTAGGGTCACTTTTCTGCTCTGGT